TTATATAATATGCATAACCGATACAACGTTCAATTTTTATAAATTGTTAAAATAAATTTCTACTTTCATTAAACAAAAGTACACCTAACACAAAATCGTCTTCATTAAACATTGAATTAGCCGTAAAATGTCAGTGCTCTGATATTTTGGAATGGATGATTCACTGTTATTGTTAAGTCTCTAAGATTATAATATAAAAATAAATATAAGAAAAAAAAACAAAAAATTCTCTGATTTTTCAAGGCATAAACAAATTCCCCGAGAATTCCAAGTTTTTCAGGTTTTTCCAGATTTAGTAGACCCTGTTTTTTTTTCCCCAAATAAAGCTTCAGAAAGACTTTAAATCTTTTCTACCGATTCGTACGATTTATTTCGTGACGTATTTTGCAGACGCGAACGGGTATCCTCCGTAAATGATTATCACGCTTTTACGTAATCGTCGACTAGTTCTTCGACAGAATGTACCTGCTAATATGTCATTCTCGCATGACCCGTACGTTACGAATTGTGAATTTAGATAAAGTTGAAGATGAACGTTGTCCAACGAATGATTCGATCGGATGACAGTTCGTTTCATTTTTTTTTTTAGCGTTGCAACTAATTCGATATTACTTGAATGAATCCATTACGCATTATGGAAACTTGATTCGGAATGGACCTCGATCGGAAAAAAAATTTTTGGATATTTCCTAGATTCCTATTGTCTTCTCTAGAAGAAACGAAGTAACTCCGATAGGAAATTATGCATTTCGAACCAGACGGTACGTATTATGATATTCTTCGGAGTAGATTTCAAAGATTGGAAAACTTCTTTGGCTACTTCCTAGATTTCTATTGTCTTCCCTAGGAGAAACGGAATAGTTCCGATCGGAATATCCATTCCGAGTCAAGAGGGTATGCATTACGAAACCCTTCGGAATAAATTCCAATCGGAATTATTCCGTTTTTCCTAGAAAAGACAATGGGAATCTAGGAAATAAGCAATTTTGATTTCGGAATCTAGAGTATGTATTATGGAACTGTCCGAAGTAGATTCCGATCGAAATTATTTAGTTAGTTTCTTAGATTTTCTTTTTGTCTTTTCTAGGAATAATTCCGATTCGGAATCCATTCCAAACAATCCATAATACGCAACCAGTTCCATGACACATTCCCGAGATTGTGAAACTGTGACTGCGTTTCGATTCAGGGCGCTCGTGGAATCATTTCATCCTTGTTGCTTATCAGATATTAAACAAGGATGAAATGATGCTCGGCGAGCGTTCTTCGCATAAATCGCAACCGTACGTCATCCAGAGAGAAATGAGAGAATCCGCAAAATCCTGCTTAACAAAGAGCTCATTTGCATATGCTCTTTCTATAAAAATATCTATATATATAATAAAAAAAAAAA